TAGGTAGTAGCAGTAGGTAGTAGCAGTAGGTAGTAGCAGTAGGTAGTAGCAGTAGGTAGTAGCAGTAGGTAGTAGCAGTAGGTATTAGCAGTAGGTAGTAGCAGTAGGTAGTAGCAGTAGGTAGTAGCAGTAGGTATTAGCAGTAGGTATTAGCAGTAGGTAGTAGCAGTAGGTAGTAGCAGTAGGTAGTAGCAGTAGGTAGTAGCAGTAGGTAGTAGCAGTAGGTAGTAGTAGTAGGTAGTAGCAGTAGGTAGTAGCAGTAGGTAGTAGCAGTAGGTAGTAGCAGTAGGTAGTAGCAGTAGGTAGTAGCAGTAGGTAGTAGCAGTAGGTAGTAGCAGTAGGGAGTAGCAGTAGGTAGTAGCAGTAGGTAGTAGCAGTAGGTAGTAGCAGTAGGTAGTAGCAGTAGGTAGTAGCAGTAGGTAGTAGCAGTAGGTAGTAGCAGTAGGTAGTAGCAGTAGGTAGTAGCAGTAGGTAGTAGCAGTAGGTAGTAGCAGTAGGTAGTAGCAGTAGGTAGTAGTAGTAGGTAGTAGCAGTAGGTAGTAGCAGTAGGTAGTAGCAGTAGGTAGTAGCAGTAGGTATTAGCAGTAGGTAGTAGCAGTAGGTAGTAGCAGTAGGTAGTAGTAGTAGGTAGTAGTAGGTAGTAGGTAGTAGGTGTAGTAGTAGTAGTAGTCGTAGTAGTAGTCGTAGTAGTAGTCGTAGTAGTAGTCGTAGTCGTAGTAGTAGTCGTAGTAGTAGTCGTAGTCGTAGTACTCGTAGTCGTAGTCGTAGTAGTAGTCGTAGTAGTAGTCGTAGTAGTAGTTGTTGTTGTAGTAGTAGTACTAGTAGTAGTAGTGGTAGTACTAATTTTAGTAGTAGTAGCAGCAGCAGCAGTAGTAGTAGTAGTAGCAGTAGTAGCAGTAGTAGTACTAGTAGTAGTAGTAGTAGCAGTAGTAGTAGTAGAAGTGGTAGTAGTAGTAGTAGCAGTAGCAGTAGTAGCAGTAGTAGTAGTCGTCGTAGTAGTAGTAGTAGGAGTAGTAGTAGTAGTAGTATAGGTAGTAGTAGTAGTAGTAGCAGTAGTAGCAGTAGTAGAAGTAGTCGTAGTAGTAGTAGTAGTAGCAGTAGTAGTAGTAGAAGTAGTTGTGGTAGGCGCAGTAGTAGTAGTAGTAGTCGTAGTAGAAGAAGTAGTAGTAGAAGTAGTAGTAGTAGTGGTAGTACTAATTCTAGTAGTAGTAGTAGTAGTAGTCGTCGTCGTCGTCGTCGTCGTCGTCGTCGTCGTCGTCGTCGTCGTCATAGTAGTTGTAGTAGTAGTTGTTGTTGTAGTAGGAGTAGTAGGAGTAGTAGGAGTAGTAGTAATAGCAGAAGAAGTAGTAGTAGTAGAAGTAGTAGTAGTAGTAGAAGTAGTAGTAGTAGTGGTAGTACTAATTTTAGTAGTAGTAGTAGTAGTAGTAGTCGTAGTAGTCGTAGTAGTAGTAGTAGTAGTAATTTGAGTAGGAATTTTAGTAATAATAGTAGAAGAAGTAGTAGTAGTAGTAGTAGTGGTAGCAGTCGTAGTAATAGTAGTAGTAGTAGAAGAAGAAGTAGGAGAAGAAGTAGAAGTTGTTCTTGTTGTTTTTGTTGTTCTTGTTGTTCTTGTTGTTCTTGTCACAAACAAAGACTGGGGCCCTCAAAACAAGCTACCCGAGCTTATCTTGGAATTTGCTTGGTGTTCCTTAAGCGCATCCACGGAGTTTTCCACCTTTTTGAAAAACAACTTTGGAGTAGGCTTTTGGCTCCTTTTTTAAATTAGGTTAAAGCTTCCTAGACTCCTTTTTGACCGCTCAGCAGCCGAAATCTTGCAAAAAGGGGTCCGGCAGGGTCGTTTTGGATCATTATGATTTTTCTGGTTGCTGGACCCCTTTTTGGGGCTCCAACGGCCCAAATCTATCAAAAAGGGGTCTGGCAGCCTCTATTTTGGATTTCCATGATCCGACCTTTCATTTTCTAGCTGCTGGGCCCCTTTTTGTGCCGTCAGCGGTCTGGATCCTCCAAAAAGGGGTCCCCCGCAACTTGACTTCAGAATTGCCACCTTTTTCCTGCTGACGGCACAAAAAGGGGTCCAGCGCTAGGCGAGGAGAAGCAGGACAGGAAAGGAAGCAAGCCAGTTTCCCAGAACAAAGACGGGACTCAAGTTCAGGGCGAGAAAGGCTATGCCCAGCGGATATTTGCAGAGGCAGAATATCAGTACAACAACTGCCACACAAACCAAGGCGGGCTCGAGCCCGCGATCTTCAGATTAAGGGCCGTGCGTTGCTATACCCCTGTAATGCTTATAACTAAACTCTAAAGCGTGGCAAACCTGCAGGCCAAAGGGGGCGGCAACGCCTGCGGCAGAAATTTAGAAATTGTGGGTCAAAATACCGGGCCGCCCTCCAGCCACTTTTCCCCGA